TTGAGTACTAACATCCTTCCCTCCCTAATTTCAGCAAACCTGAGGATATGTTTCTTAATTCAATCCTACAAAGAAATTTAAATTATCTTAATATACTAAACCTTGCCTGTTAGGAAAATAGCATGCAATATGGTCTATTCTCTGTTAGCACTATCTTTTCTAACCATTGCCACAAATGCAGTATGGTACATTCATTACCTCTATTTCATCTGTTTTGCTTTGTATTTCCATTTCTGGAACACTAAAGCACTGCTATATTAACAGTATATCTAGATAAACTATTAATGGTTATATCGTTTGACACATCAAAACGAATAACTTACTTGCTGATCTGAGCTGTGAAAATTCATTCTATTTTTTTAAAAATTTGTGTAAAGAATTCAAATTAAAAAAATATTAAAAAGTTTTAAAAGTTAACTGTAAGCAAAATATTAAATTCTTTTAGATTCCTGGGTATTTTATACCCAAGGTTCTTAGAAATAGCAATCCAGCATGTTGATGCTGTGGCATGCTTGTCTTCACTACTGATTAGAATATTAGAACAGGGGTTCTTCTAGTTCTGTCCTTTCCCACCACCCCAAGCAGTCGGCTGTCTCAAAAAACTTGTTTCTGAAGTTGCCACTGGTTCAATACTCTTTCCACTCTCCAAATCTCCATCTAATCGATAATTTAACTTCATTTCCTCAAAGGTGCTTTCTTTTACCTCCAGATTAGATCAGACCCCCTGCCATACCTGGTTATATTCACATTCCTCCCCCCCCCCTTTTATTTCTTACTCTTTGTAATGATATTTGTATGGTTATTTGGGTTGTCCGCTTCGCACATTTAGTGAAAGACTGTTTCTGCATTTCTTATCATTTTATTATCAGAGCCTGGCAATTCGTTCATACTAAGTATTTGTTGAATGAATGAATGAATGAATTCATGTCCAAGCTCAAATCCCACCTTCTTTACAAAAAACATTTCTAATTTCTCCAGCCATTGTGATAAATCCCTCTCTTGAATTTGAGGCGTTTGTTGTTGGTACCATTCATTTATCCTATGGAATCATAGATTCATAGAACTTAATAGGAGTTTAGAGGTAGCAAGTTTTATATTGTAAACGATGCAATTCATTGAAATACAATTCTTGGTTTTAGTTTTGTGAATATCATCATTAGTGATTGGAAGTTGCCTCCTGAACCATCATCCTTGGACTATTCATAGTTTTAGTTTTTCTGATATTTAGCAAGTATCTACTTTCTTGTGATTTTTCAAGACTAATTTGGTTCCTTAGCATAAAAAAGAATAAGCCCATTTGTTCTTCTAATGATGGTCCCTCAGATAGTCAAAGGCTGCTCTCCTGCTCAATCAAAACACAGCCCTCCTTTAATTATTGCTTTTATATTGTGGTTTCCAACTTCTTTCATCATTCTGGTTTACTCTCCTGTGATATCAGTTTAGTTTGTCAAGGTCCTTCTTAAAATAAAATTACTTTTGTTATCAGTAATTTTATTTTTTTCTAAGTATGCTATTCAAATGTCATAAAATAGTAATAAAAGACTTAAAATTTCTAAAATTCAGAGGTTACTTTTTCTAAGAATAAATTTGTGATGGTTCTTTAAGTCTTTAAATTCAGAAATTTGAAAATATTATTTTGATTAAGTAATAGATACCATTTTCTCGCAGCTGTTAACGGTTGTTGGAGGATTGCATAGATCACATAACCAATTTTATAACTTACAGTTTAAAATGATCTCACTTGCTCTGACCACTTGCTAGGTGAACTTCAAAGGGATTTAAACAAATAAGTAACAAAATACTGTTCTTGTTTTGGTCCGAAAGGTTTACTCTTATAGCTATTACCTGCTAAGAAACCAAACCCAATGTTTAATAATAATAATCAGCTCTTTCCTGGGCTCAGCAAAAAATGTTTTGATGTGGTTGGTACCAGCCTCTGATGAGGGTATCAGCCTTCATTTAAAAAACAACCATTAGTTTGAGTTGTCATTACCAACATTACTAAATTGCTGATAATAACATTCATTACAAAGCAAGAATTGTCCTTTTCAGTCCTTTATATGTAATTTATCCTCCGTTTCAAAAATATTATAATATATTGTAAAGTTGCTGTCAACACATCTCAAAAGGCAACAAATGCTGCAAGAAGAAAAAGTAGCCAATAAAATAAAATAATATAGAAATAAATTAGAAGGGGGAGGTGGGACTTGAGCCTCTCCACTTCTGAAATGGTTTTACTATCTGGCACATAGTTATGATCATTAAATATTTGTTAAATGAATTAAAACATTCAAGCATTAGGGATAATTCCATAGCAGGGATGACATGTTATAAGCAAAGTAATTGGCTTAACCAGAATATCTGGCAATTAATTTTCAATTTCAATTTTTACTATATTTTCAATTTCAATATTTTTGAGAACTCTGTATGAGTTAACTGTAATCACTAAAAACACTCAAATATTTTCCTAACATGATGTAATTCAATCTCCTATAATCCAAATTTATATGATAAATTCCTTCCTCTTTCTTTCCCTCCTTCTCTTTCTCCCTCCCTTACTTCCTTTCCTCCTTTCTAATGAAAAATTCACTTGGGCTATTTAGGTAACTATTTTAAAATAGCCTATAAATGAGCTATTGGCGCTGGGTAGAGCCAGCCATGGGTCCAAGCAACAAAATGAACAAAAGAAACTTTGGAACGCACCTGGATGTTAAGAAAATAGCAGGTGGTTTAAAAAAAAAAGAAAAGGCTAAGGAACTCAAATTTCTCTTCAGGGATTTTGTTGCTACCTTTCCTGCAAAATTATCCAGATTACTTCTTGACCTCTACTTTGAGAGCAGAGGAAGTCTTGTGTGATGTGTTGCTCAGTAGCTAGCTCTGAAGCCTCCAGGTACTTTCTTACCTGAACGATATATTCTAAATACTGTAATTGCTTGCACATTTGAACCTATTCCATCCCTGGATTACAAAATATATATTCTCTACATAAACTTTAAAGAGAAAAGGCATTCGAGGTACATTTTAATATGTATATATTAGTAAATGTATATATTTTTATTTATATAAAATATATAGGCATATCCTGTAAGCAATAATTGTAGTTTTAAAAAATTATAGTACTTGCCATTTTCATACTTTCAAAAATATATACTAATTTCAAACTACTTTTGGAGAATCTGTCATAAACCAAATAAATACTTAAGACAATCCGGGAAACTTTAAAAAATTCTCTTCAAAAAGAAATTAGGAGTTTATGCTCAGGGGCCAGTTGGCCACCGACGAAAGCCCAGAAAGTTGTTAAGCCTATTCTGTTTTATTTATTATAAGGACAGGATTTATATCAGTTGAGATGACCACTATAACTTCCAAACTCATTTTAGGTTAAGTGCAAAAATTCTAAAGTTGTTTTGAACTGAGATAAATCTATAATAAATTTGAAAATGTCCATTGAATTATTATTTTACAAGCAATTACTTAGAGTTTATTATTTGATGTGCACTCTGTTAGGCACTAGACTGCACAAAAAGGAATACAATATAAAATTTTTGCCCTTCGGGAGCTGGCATTTTAGTGAGAGGTGTCCGGTTTTTTCTCCTTTGCAGGTATTAAATACAGTTATAAAAATAGCATGTTACAGAACCTAAAGAAAAGAAGCATTAACTGAAGGTTTAAGAAGTGGGTTTGAGTTGTATATACTAGGGATTGGCTGTTGAATTAAAGTGGCGTTTTCAGAAGTGTCTATTTAAATCCATATTGTTGACACTACAGTGAAAGCAGTGAAACTTGTCAGCAGATGATTAAGTTTTATGGTTGATGTGCACACTTTTGTAGCTTGGGACCAATATCAAGTTTCTGGGCAAATCATCCTTCCTCTCTCCCCACCCTCCATTTATCATTAAACCAGCTCCCCAGCCTGTTGGCGTTGTGTTCTCAGTATAAAGGTATTTCACAATAATTCCATTTTTCACTTTTCACTTATCAATCTGAGAAGAGTAGTTACTTCCATTTTTCTTTTTCCTTTTTTTTCCCCCTCCCGGGGCAAGAAGCCTTTAGATTGCTGGTTTATTTATATATTCCATAAGGGAAAGTCTGCACTCCACTGGCTACTTTTGCAATTCCCAAGACCACCAGTTAGTGGTATTATTTCTGGATGAGTGAAACGCCCTTAACAAGGAGCTGGGGGAGGAGTGCACAGCCCCAGGTCACTGGCTTTCCACCGACTAGTCTTTTAGGAAAGTGACGGGTCCCACGGAAATTAACAACCCTTTAACTCGGACAGGCTTGGCATCTTCCGGCCGAAGTGGAGATAAAAAATTGGATTCTCATGGGTTGGGTTACTGTTTGAGGAGGGCAGGTGGGAGTTAGTGAATGGATAGACTATCAAATGGGGCTTTATTAAACCACTCATTAAAACTGCACGAAAAAATAAACCTCTGCTGACTCCAGAGGATTAAAAAAAAAAAGCTTCAAAAACCCAACTTCAAACCAAATTTAGGAAACGTAGGAGACCTATCAATGCAGTCTGGGTGGTTGCAAGACCACCCTCCCCTGTCACCTCAGGCCGGAACCTGGGCACAGGTGTGAACTGAACAGTTTGCAAAACAGCTTTCAACACGACGTTTCAGCGCGAACTCTCCTTGCGCGCGACCTGGGAACTTCGGGGTGGCCAGCACGTCCCGCAGGCTGGCGTTCGCCCGGGTGGCTAACCTTTCCGCCTTTCCCACCCCGCCACGCCCCCTTCGCCGCCGCCTCCATCCAGGAGGCGTTTGTTTACGTGACGTCATCCGTAGTAAGCAGTCCCCGCCCCTGGGTGCCTCCGGCCGCCGCGTTTCCCGCGCCGCGGCGCTTCTCCCCTTAAAAGGACAATAGAG